CATAAGTCATCACCCCTACAGTTAACCCCAATCTGATCTTAGATAGTCTGTCTTCTTCAAAATGGCCTTTGATATAAAAAGTGCAGTCTTACTAGTGATATGCAGGTTCGTTCCCTGCAAAAGGTAAGACAGTTTCTTGTGGGTGCCCCGGTATTTTTTAGTTTTTAAAAAAGAACTTAGTTCAGGTTAAGTCCTATCTATATTTAGGACTTGTTTTTACAGAAACAGGCTCCTGGCTCCCACATTTTAAGAGAAGTTCCTTAAGGGCCACAATCTGTGCCGATGCCATAAGGCAGCTCACCGACCACAGCTATCCAGGTTCTCTAATTCCAATCATAAAGATATATAACAGCAAAATAGTCCTAATGATTACATATGGCGCAGAATTGTGGGGATATATAAATGCCCCCTTATTGGAACAGATATAGTCCATTTTCTTGAAATGCATCTTGGGGGTGGACATGTATATACCAACTCCAGCAGTAAGAGCAGAGTTGGTATACTCCCTATACAAGCAATCTAGTAATTAAAATATTCAACTATTGGCTGAAGATCTTATCTATGGACCCAGATAGATTACCCAGATTTTGTTTGAAGAGCAGTTGCATAATATGCCTCCTCACACTTGGGCTGCCCAACTTTCAAATGCCATCTCACAATATGGATTCTCCATCTAATACCCAGTCCAATCAGAGCTGAAGGCCAAGAAAAGTTTCAAACAGTCATGGATGTGGCTGCCCAAGATGATACTGCATCCCTTAAACATGTTAAGTCCTTAAAGTGGCTGGCTCAACACAAATCAGCCTCCCAGTTAGAAAACTATTTAACAACTTATATGTCTCAACATCTTAGAGCTCATTTTGAACAACTAGATTCCATGGTAAGACATGGGAGGTTTCATGGAGTTCCATTTGAAGAAATACTGTTATCTGTGGTGCACCAGCTATTGAAGATATTGCACATATCTTCTTTGATTGCAAACTATATTCTACAGAAAGGACTGTTTACTTAGGTTCTTAAAATGAAGGCTGCAAAGGGTCAGCTTTCTCCAGTTATCAACATACGTTTCTAAGACCTCTTTCCAGTATATTTGACAATCCCTAAAGAGAGATCTGCCCACTAATACCCTCCCCTTGGATAAACAGATGAGCTATGAACAATAATCCAAAGTAAATATGGCTAAGAATTTTATTACTCTGATTAAACCATGTTACCTAGTTGTATTTATTATGCCACCATGTTAGTGAGTCCACACTTCACTTCTACAAAATGCCTATTATCTAATCCAGGGATATGTCATTTTAAACACAGTCAAATATAAGTCTGCTTCCAAGTGCCAGGTTAAAAAATGTTATTAGAAGTGAAGAAAGAGAGGACTTCCAGGTGAGGAAATGGCAAACTAGATGTCTCCAAAGGAGCGGACATGATGCCATAGCCAAAACCAACGAACCGGTGGCAAGCTTGGTCCAATGGAGCCTCTCTGAATAAAGAGAGGATGAGAGATCACCCACTTGTGCTCCAGACAGCTGCTCCTCACGAGGAGATCACAGGACAGCAGCCAACCCATGGGTCTGAAGACTGGGAGATGTGGGAAGCTATCAAGTTCCCAACCACTGCGGAGTCTTTAAGGACACTGGGTTCATCCAACTTCACTTTCAACCACTTTTGGATTTATAATTATTTTGAACTTAAGAGGTCTTCCAAGGAACAATTCTGAAAAACTACCCCATGAATAAACTTCATCCCAAAATAGAGAAACTAACCAACAGCTTATAGAATTTAAAGAATATAAAATAAATGGCAAAAAGCTAAATAAGAATTTAATTCAAGGAAGCTATAAACAAATTAAGGGATCAAATGAATTTGAAATATTAGGACTTTTGCTAGGACTTTTAAAATAACTAAATAAACAAATTATCTTCATGGGAACATAAATTGTTTAATCTACCAGAAGAGAGAGGATTGGTCGAAATTTGAAAATAAAGAAACAAAGAAATCTGAGATTTCATGATTATAGAAATGGGACACTAAAGGGGACTAAAGTTCCAGGCAGGAAAAGAAAAAAAAAAGGGGGGGGGGCTGTCCTTTATTCTTGAACTGAAAGAAAAGTGGTGAAATTTATAAATTGACAAAGGTATGACACTTGAGACATTTCAAAGGATTTTTGAAGAACTGAGAGACAAGCATATAGCTAAACTGACAACAATAATTTCTGTACCTGCAAATGCATTTTTTGAAGAAGACTTTAAAGAAGAAAAGAAAGATATGAAAGAAAACAACAGAAGTTTTCTTTTTTGCAAACTCTACAACCAGAACTGAATAACTGATTCACATCCCTGGATTCAGCCTAAGCTTGATTCTGGTAACTTTATTAACATAAGCCTTTAAAACAATGAAATCCTAAAAGTTAGGTATGGAATATCTGAACATGCACTTACTAAAAGTTAATATAGAAAATCTGAGGATAAATTAGTCAACGCTAAATCCATTTTTAAATGGTCTTTGGTCAGCATAAGACAGAAATATCAGTACCACCACAGAAAGTAAGAACATTCAAAATAGTATAGTATGCTAGTTAAAAAGAAAGACTTTGAATGAAAACCATTTGAAATAGAATGGATAACTGTGTACTAGAATTGTAGAGTTCGAGGGGACCACAAGATCATGCAGCCCAAGCTTTTGAAATGTGCAGGAAAACCAGTTACTGGTGGCTGTCCAGCTTCTTAACCTCCAGAGATAGAAAACTCACAACTGCAACAGGTAGACAGTTCCACTGTTTCTGTGGCCATGGAAAATAATTGTTGGCCATTTTTCCAGCAGCTTCTCTTTATGTTCCTATGCATGTCTATCACAACCCCCAAGTCTTCAGACTGAATCCCAAATTTCGTCAACCTACTGTCAAAGGGCATGGCTTCAACTCCCTCTATTATTGCCCTCATGTAAACCCTCTCTAAACTGTCATCCTTCTGGAAATGTGGTGCCCAAAATCATACCCAATACTCCCAGTGTAGTCCCACCAGTACTGAGTAGAGAGGAATACTGATTTCACATGTCTTTGGTATGTTGCTTCTTCTGGGGTAGCCCAGAACTGGGTGATCACTTCTAGGAGCTGTCTTACATTGCTTACTATTATGTTCAGTTTGTTGTCAAAGGGACTACACCCAAGTTCCTTTCAAATGTAGTGTTTTGAAGCCATGAATCCCCTATCTATTATGTGTCTCCTACATTTTTTCTTTCTAATAGGCTAAGGCTAGTAAGAGAGGCCTATTTTCTGCCTTTGCCTTCCTGATCTCATTCCTATATTTCTAGACTGATGCTCTGTATATTTCTTTGGTCATAAGCCCTCCCTTCCCCTTTCCAATAAGCATACTTCTTTAGTTTCAACACCTTTGTGAACTGTCTGTTCAACCACATTAGCTTCTTTAGATGTCTCCTCGTTCTCTTCTTCATTAGCACTGAGATTGCACTATCCCTAATTTCCTTTTCAGAAATCCCAGCTGGATACAGCAGCTTTGCCTTTAAGGTTTTCTTCCTTACTACTTTTCTTACTTAAAATTGGCCTTCCTAAGATCCATAGTTTATATTTAATTGTCTTTTACCAAATTATTTTTTTACCAAATTATAATCAAGAAGTTTAACAATGTGTGGTCATTTGCATCCACCCAAAGTTCCCACCACTTTAATATCATTAATCAACTCTTCCCTATTTGTAAGAACCCAGTCCAAGGCAGCAGATTCCTTAGTACCCACCTCCATTTTTTGAACAAGGTAATTATTGCCAACAAAAATCAAGATTTTTTTCCCGATATCTTGTTTCTGGCATAATTAGACTTCCAACAAATATCTGGGTAGTTGTAATCTCTTCATATTTTTTGAGGTTATATTTAATAAATCTTTGAGTTATATTTAATATAAATATATTGAACTTTCCATTTCAGTTATATTTAATAAATTTAAATTTATATTTAATAAATCTCCCTTTATATCTTCTTACTGGCAGTATATAGCAGACTTGTAGCAAGCTATCTTTTCTGTTAGACTATCCTTTTATTTTAACTCAGATGCTTTCAATACTTGTGTTACACTGGACTTATGTACAGGCAAGTTCATTCCTAATACACCACACTTGCCTCCTCTTGTAGTCCTCTCTTCCCATCAAGCCCAATGTTCTACTGATGGAATTTATCCCATTGTATTTTTATAATCCTTATTATGTCATATTTGTCTTGGTATCTTAGGACATCTAGCTTATCTTGCATATTTCCCATACTTTGTCATTAGTGTAGAGACATTTAAAATAACGGATTGGATTCAATGTGTTCAATCTCCCTTTTCCTTAATTCCTATATTTCCTTTGTTTTTTTTGTCAAACTAGTAATTTCCACTACACTGTACTACACTTTCCTGCTACATTTAACCCATTACTAGCCAATTTTCTATCACAGAATAGCAGTGTTAACAGCAGTTATACAATCAAGCTTAGTATTTATATACCAAAAGGAAGACTATTACATGCTCCTGCACACAACTTTGTAACACTATGTGCTACAGAAGAGTTGCTACCAGAAAGTAAGAAAACAAACAAAATTTGGTTGAGCAATCACACATCCCAGCCTGAACTGGAAAATAAAAGAAGGGCAAATATCTCTACAGAATTGAGACTACAGAAGCACATACTCACTTGTCTCAATGGTTCATCACCACATGGGCATAAACATTCTAAGAAAGGAATTTTATTATATCTTCCATATAATAGAGCCAACGGGAGAGCATCACAAAAGGAATGGCTATATATTAAACAAGGATGCAATATTTTAAATACAGAGAAAAAAAGAGGGGGAAGAAAAATAGAGATAAGTGTTTATATTTTTATACACACACACATACACACACAGTATGTATACACACACACACAGTGTGTGTGTATGAATGAGCATGCAATACAAACATTGCCATTTTATGGATAGTAGTTAGCAGTTATGTTAAAAACAATTTCTCACCCGACCGCACGTGGCAAGGGTAATTTCTTCCATGCCTTTTTGTAAGAGATCGCTGTACGGCTGAGGTAAGCCTGTGACGGAAATTACTAACTCTGTGAAGCATCTGGTGATGGTTTTCTTGTCCATCTCTTGAATATCCACGTTGTGACATGGTGCTGTTGTCACATTAACTTTTAAAGTTTCCTAGAATGAAAACCTATACAATCTTTCTCTTGAAGCTTTGATTGCAGTTGATACTCCAATGCTAATTAAAAGGGAGTCTTTTTTAAAGTTACCAAACACTGCAACATTAGAAGATAAAGTTAAATCACATTTATTTCATTAAGAACAGCATTGAGTTTCTTGAAGAGCTTACAGTATACTTTGCTGCGCAAATTTCAAAGCACATTACTTTCTTGATGCACAGAACACATCCACTGCTTCTCTAACAGCTGTTTCTTCAAGACACACACTTGATCCAGAGGTGTTTTTAATTAGAATCTCTGAGTGAAGTTGCATCCAAGAGTATAGTCTCTCTCTTTACCACATATCTTCTCATAGTATTTGAGCATTTTCTTTCATTTCTAAGCTACTTCTATTACTCTGCATACTTGTAACTTCCTTCTAATTGCCCTGGAATATTCTCTGAATTGCCAAGCAACAGGCGTCCGTACAGAAGAACACGTTAAGGTCCTCTTCGAATATTCACAAATCAGCATTTAATGAGACAGAAATATTTCACTGAAAACTCCAAAAGTTTCAAATCCTAGGTTTGACTGTCAAATATTTCGTTTTCCCTCAAGGTTGGTTCTAGGTTGCTGATTTCAGCAAGGCGGAGAAAGCTACCAGTGTTCAAAATCAAGGTTTATGAACTCTCCCTATAACAAGCATTAATTGTTCCTTCAGCCCATCCAGTAAGAAATACGCTGCTTCGGAGCTCTTCAAAGCTGAAATGGACTTTTCCTCAAAGCATTTGAAACAGAAAAGAGAACAACTCCCAGAAAAGCTCTCGTTTAATAAACAAATTGCAATGGGAAGGAAGGGAGGGGATACAGACCACTGTTCTGCATCTGTTCTCATCTTATTCAACACAGGAGAGAGAGGAAGCTGATTACACTGCTTTCCTTGGCAGTAACTCCTTTCCATGAAAGAGATTTAACTGTGGGTGCATTCAGAAAGCCATCACTTTCCCACAACAGTGTGAAATGTAACAGGCTAGTCTAACACCACACAAGACTTGGAGTTGAGCATTATCTGTTTCTTATGTGAAAAACACATAAGGTGCGTAATCTTCACTTTTTTTTTTTAACAAACATGTATCTTTAGAAAGATATACACACAAAAACAATTAGAAGATTGGAACTTGTGAAGTAACTCAACTGTCATGCTGTGGCTTATGGAGTTTTTTTAAAAAATCATGTGACCACATAATGAAAGACAATGACTTTTTTTTTTCAGTGAAAAGAACCAACACCTTTTAGAGCTAGCTGTATCATTCTTCAGTTTGTACTGAAATAAATATTCATTTTGTTTTCATCACAGTTAAGACTTTTCATGATATGCAGTTTGGCTATTTTCTTTTTGTAGCTGGACTTAAGGGTTGTTCTTTAAAACGCATGTTATAACGACAGCTTGGAAAAACATGACTTATGGTTTACGTACATATGAAGACAAATCCAAATCAAACAATAAGAAAAAAAAGTGAGTTCCTGGAAACAGTGACAGTGTACCAGTGTTGGTACTAACTAACTGAAAGTATTACTATATTCATATGTGTCACACCCTTTTTGTTTAAAATTTAAATTGTTAAAATTTAAATTGTTAAAATTTAAAACTTGATTTTAAAAACTGCATACCACAATAGGTGCCATACCCAAGACTTCAGAGGCCAATAATTTTTCTGATTTTATTCATCCAGTTCAAAATATTTTTTCCTAATTTGGAAGTCTGCTTCACTGGGCAGAGCCCCCAGAATAGGAAACATATTTAGGTAGTAAGTATAGTACATAAGTATAGCATAAATACAGTGTAAGTACAGTAAATACTTATTCACTGTATGTTTAAATGAGAATACTATAATTCAATGTAAACTTGCAAAATATTATAAGTGAGCATACAAAGGCTACTGCTGAGCACAGAGGTGTCTGAATGAAAAAAGGGTAGGGCTTCAATTGCATGGTTGTGGCTGCCATCTTGACCTTTTTGATCCCCTTCTTGAGGACACCCCTGGCTGAGCAGTGGAACTTTTGCTTTCCATGCAAAAATCTCAGATCTATCCTTGGGATCTCTCTGGAAGGCTGCTTTGACAGCAGGTGATGGCCCAAGTAGATCTGAACTGAGGAAGCTGAAGATAAGCAAAACTCAAGAATACACACACACACGCACACACATACACACACCCTCATTCATATATAAAATGTCCATTAGTTAAGTATAACACAGATAACAAAAACTGAAGATTTCAAAATATTGCAGCAGGATGCACTCACAATGCCTGTAAAAAAAGAATGCTAAACTTATGGTAACGATGCAACTCATTTTACTTTGTGAACTCAGAGTTTGTGGATACAAATACATCTGTCACAGAAATCATAATTTGGAAGAAAAAAGATAGCTGCTCCGATTTCTTTTGAATACTAATCTGTAAGATTCAACTAGTTTTCTCCAGTCTCCATAACAACCCACAATTAATTAGCACCTTCAAAGAGAGCAAGGACTTAACAGTATTAATTGGAAATACTGAACAAATACCACCTGCTCTTCTTTCTCCCCTGTGCAAAGATGAAACAAACTGCAGCGGAGCTCAGACAAACAAGGCATTCTGAGAGTCTGAGCTATGCTCAAATAAGACTTCTTGATCTTCTGACAAACCTGTCAATTCCAATGAAATATCATCATATTTTTTCCTGGAAGATAGTTGGCTAGAAAGAGAGCCAGTTTGGTCTAGCGGTTACGGCTCCAGGCTAAACACCGGGAGACCACAAGTTCTAGTCCCGCCTTAGGCATGAAAACCGGCTGGGTGACTTTGGGCCAGTCACTCTCTCTCAGCCCATGATGTCAGGCTTGGGCGACAAGCCGGTAGGTCAATTCCTGCCACAACCAGTGGATCAACATTCAGTTGATCTGGAAAAAAAAAAAGGCAGACCTTGCACCTGCAGGAAAAACACTAGGAAGAGAGAGGGGGGGGGGGGGGGGG